TGCAGGTGACTTCTTGAGTCTAACCTAGGTGATGGGTACAGGAGTAGCTACTTGATGATTATTCCAATAAACTGTACATGTATGTTTTATAAACTCCTTTATATCTATAAGATATTAAACAAAAAAATTAAAAATTAATTTATGTCATTGTGGGCTCTTGGGAAAAAAAAGTCTGAGAAATAACTAACCATATTTCAAAGACAACAAAAGGGGGGAAAAAGTATTTTCCAAAGCTCTAAAGATAATTTTACAAACTTTTTACTCCCTTTTGTCCCCATGTTAAATGCGTATTGTGAGTGGTTACCTTCTTTTACCAACCAATCTTATCTGAAGCCCATATGACTACCATGCAGAAATACAGTCAGAAACTCAGCTCCTAGAATTTTAAGAGTCAAATTGGGGCAAATATAATTATTAAATAGAGGCTAAATCTCAGTCAGCTTTAAAATAAGACATTAAATATAGTATGCGATTATACTGTAGGATGGACAAACACAATGCAATCAACTTAATCAATTACTATTTAAAGGGAAGATGCTATGTATCTAGGGGGGTAGTTCTCAAATTTAAATAAGTATAAGATAACTAAAAGAACTTGTTAAAATGATTGCTCATTCTCTGGGTTCACCCCCAGAGCCTTTCTGAGTAGGACTGGGCTGGGGCCCAGGGATCTGTATCTTTAATAAGCAGGTAGTCTGTGGATTCCAGTTTTAAAAACAATGATGTAGGAAAATCTTATACATTTTACAGAGAAGAGTCTTAGTTCTTAAAACTACCAATTGTTCATTTTTACACCACAAGGTTTACATTTCTATACTAGGAAAATTTACATACACTATAATCCTTCCTTGTCTTTCCTTCTTTTATTCTCATTACTAAAGCTCTGATGTGGTCATTCTAAATTTACGTAACTAGTGTTTTCTTAAGTTATGTCATTTGTGTTTCAATTTCTGTAATTGCTTGCTCATATCCATTATTCTACTGAGTTGCTATTTTTCTTACTGATTTGAAAGAACTCTTTTCAACTAAGGAAATTGCCCATTTGTCTTATTGTTGCAAATATTCTCCAGTTTTTAACTTGACTTTGTTTTATAGTATATTTAATCATAAAGATATTCTAAATTCTTACATAGTCAGGTGTATTAAGTCTTTCTTTTATAGCTTCTGGGATTTGTGTCTTAGTTGGAGGGCTTTCTCAGTTCTCAGATTCTTTAAAACAGTCGTTTCCTAATACTTTCATGGTGCTTTTTTTTTTTTTACATTTAAGTCTTTGATACAGCTGGAAATTACTTAAATGGTAAGGCAGGGATGTAGGTTCTTCTTCCCCATTTTTCCTTTTTTTTCTTTCCAGATAGCTAAGCAGCTGTCACAAAACCATTTACTAAACAAGCCATCTTTTCTGTTATGGTTATTTTAAATGTAATTTTGCCAGCTGCAAAGTATTTCACAAAGGAGTATATTTCTAGAAAATCTATGTTTACCAGAACCATACTACTTACCTAACACATTTTAGCAAATGTTATGTATTGTTAACATTAATGAAAATTACAATGAATTGAAGGATAATATGGCATGTGTTATGCGAATCACTGGATACACCTATCATTAAGGATAGATATAACTTACTATAAGTTCACTCTTCAGAAGTCCTTCAATTGTTTCCTGGGCATGCAATATAATATTTCACACGATAGAGTAATGCCATTCATTGCTATACAGCAATGCCATTCACATTTTTTTGGTATGATTTGCTTCCAGATCATTGAGGAAGAAATGCCTTATAATTTGTTATTCTAAGTTTCTTATTTATCTAAGATGTTATAAGAGAAAAGTGGCAAAATAATTTTTTCCTGAGTTTTCATTGGACTATGCAGATAAAAGAAATACTGATACTATGCAGAGGTAGAACCCCACTAGGGAGAGCTTGTCAGAAAGCTGCTATTCTCATGTCTTGAGATTTAAGGGAGCCAAGAACAAAAAGTCAAGGGTGCAGGAGCACCATTCCAGTAGGCTGGGTCAGAAGCTCAAAGAGCTCCAAGTGAAACAGGGTCCCGAAAACACAGGTTGCTAAATACTTGTTTCAATGCCAGCCTTCCCTATGCATGTGAGATGGAGACGGAAGCTTGAAAGTGGTGACCCACAGAAACTATGAGTTGAAATGTTCCAACTGCAGCATATTTATTCTAACAGCTGCGTAGTGTGCTTTTAAGTACTATATGGACACAAAATAGAGTCATATTTCAAGGGGTTAATACTCCTATATTCTTTACAGATATTTCAAGGGGTTAATACTCCTATATTCTTTATAGATGAACACGTAAGATTGAAAATTCAATTGTACTCCCTTTTTATGAAACATTCAATCTCTCTGAGCTCTTTCTCTTTCTTAATCTGTTCTATCTTTGCTTACATTTTTTTATGAATTCTATTTCTTTTTCATGCCAGTTTCTCCACCAAGATGAAGAGTCAACTCTTTATTATTACTACAATTTTTGTATCTGGAAAGAATATGAAGAGATATCTTTTACCAGAAAGTAGTATGAATGGCCCAAAACAGAAGACAAGCTAACAAAAATATTAACAGGATTTTGTGCATTCTTGAATTTAAGCTTATACTGAAATTTATACTTAATAAACCAGGAATGCTTAAAAAAAAGCCTGTGGATATTTGAAAAATTAAGAGCATCTCAAACACAATAATGAAATTCATGTGTTAAAATCTATCTCAGAAGGATGGGAAATAATGACTAGTCTTCTGTAAAAACCCAGATGATTTTTCTATCTCCCTTTTATTTTTTTTCCCCTTTTAAAATATGAATACTTGTACCCTCCATTTTCTGGAAAGAGAGCATATTTTTAAAATTTAAAAATGAACATTTATTTTGAAACTGAAAAATTGTGTTGCAAATGAAGTTATCATCCTGTCCCTAAAATCCACTCCCCCTCCTCCTGTGTTCCTTATCTGTTAATGAAATAAATAATATCAGGGTACCTAGAGTGAAACCTCAATCATATCACATCTAATTTCTTTTTCTCAAGTTCTCATTCACATCTGTGCCATCCTTTCCATTCTCACAACTTCCTCCTTCTCTTACTCCCCTCATCTGGTCCATCAGCAAATGAACCAAGATATAATCAGAATATAATTATATTTGAGTATAATATTCAAAATAATCAGAATCTGACCACTTCTCACCACCACCATTGCCACCACCATGGCCCAAGCCACCATCATCTCTCACCTGGTTTACTACACTGATTTCCCAACTGGTTTTACTTATGCCTGGGACTTCTAGCTTCAGTCTATTCTTAGGAGAGGAGCCTGTGACATTGGCACTCCTCAGCTCAAAACCTCCAATGGTTTCCTAGCTCAGAAAAAGCTGAAGTCTTTACAGGAGCTGACATGATCTTAAAGAATCAGTTGCACACCCCCACCACCCCATAACTGCCGTGACTGCATCTCCTACTATTCTTCCCATCAAGTCACCCACTCAGCTCCAGCCACACCGGCCTCCCTGCCAGGTGTGTTCTTCCTCTTCCACCCCTTACACTTGTGTTTCTCTCTGCACAGAATGCTTCTCTCCTAGATGTTGCACTGTCCATTACTTTTTTCAGGTTTTTATCCGAAAAGGTTATCTTCCCCAATAAGGTTTTCTTTCTGAACTCTTACCATCCTTCCCTCGACAGTTCAAATCCTCCTTTCCTACTTTGTTTTTTTTTCCTCCATAGCACATACTACATATTTTATTTATTTATCCAGTTTCCAGTCTAGTTCCCATTATTGCTGGTTCCCATGACTGGAACATAAATTCTACGAGGTAGGGATTTTTATCTGCTTTGTTCTTTGCTGTATTCCCAATGCCCCAAAGAAAGCGTGGCACATAGTGGGAGCTCAGTGAATTTTGTTGAATGAATGAATGAACAAACAAAAGAATGACTCCAGCTTGGGCTCTCACTACATCTTTCCTGGTCTCTTACTGGCAGTCTTTACCCCCTGCAATCAATCCTACATATCTCAATTAGTAGTGTATCTAACAAAGGTCTCATACTACTGCTCCTATGATTAAGAGCATAAGTAGCTTCCAACTGTCCAGTGAGTAAAGTACAATTCTATAGGATGCCATCAAGGTCCTTCATAATCAGAATTCCCTTTTCTAACCTCACTCCTTTATATCCCATTTTTACATCTTAATCTGTAGACCATTGCCTCTCAAACGTGAGTAATTCATGAGTCCTTTTGAAAGAATTTCTCAATGATTCTCAAGGTCACATCCAAGGATCTCCGTTTGAGAAAAACTAATTTAAGAAACTGACATCCTGATCAATAAAAATGTCCTCTTATTGTAGATTACTGGTAAAATAATTTGTATATTATAACCAAACTCAAAACAAAAATTTAAAATTTTCATATACTTTGCACCCCCTAAGAATAAATCCATGGACCCAGTTTCAGGAACACTGCTGTATACCAATGCAACTCCCTACCTATCCCAGAAGAGGCCTATGCTTACCTGCCTCCATGCTTCCCTCCTGTCATTCCCCCATTCTGGAACATCCTTTCCCTGACTATAGTTATCAAAATTCTACTCATCACATAATGCCTAATTACCACCTCCTTCATGAACTCTTTTTGTTACCTTTAGCTAAAACTTCTCTTAGTCTCGTGGGGCAATTTTATATCTCTTCTGTGGCATTAACTACACTATTATATATATAGTATGTCATACTACCATTTTCCCATGGTTATCATAGTTCCTAGAAAACATGAAGATTAACTTGTTCTTATTTCCACAACAACTAGTATAGTGTCTACCATATGACAACTAGTAAGTGTCCCCTGAATTAATCATCACATAGGATAAAAAAATAAATGCTTCCATAAATATGACCCTCTACTGATCTTCTTAAAAATGCAACTAAAAGCTTATAAATAAACATATATAATATATTCATAATAAAAGAGAAAACACAGGAAAACATTTTTTAGTTATAGGACTTACCTTCTTTTAAGAGTTAAGTCTGATACAGGTACACATCTTAGACCAGTTCCTAAAACCATAAGGAAGGATGTCAGGAGCACAGTTACCCGAAGACCTAAAAAGAAATAAAAACATCCAGATTATTTTCTATTTTCTCTTAAGCCCAATGTTAAGAATAATTTTTTTTTACTCAATCATACTGATATTATATTCTAATATTATGGCTTTTCTCCATAACTTCCAACATGGGAAAAAAACCCAACCAACCTTACATGCTGAAAATGAAATGATTCTAACTTTAATAGAAAATTGAAGGCTGGTCAAGGTGGCTCATACTGTAATCCTAGCACTTTGGGAGGCTGAGGTGGGAGGATCACTTGAGGTCAGAAGCTCAAGACCAGCTTGAGCAAGAGCGAGGCCCCATCTATACTAAAAACAGAAAAATTAGCCTGGCATGATGGCAGACGCCTGTAATCCCAGCTACTCAGGAGGCTGAGGCAAGAGGATCGCTTGACCCCAGGAGTTTGAGGTTGCTGTGAGCTAGGTTGACACCACGGCACTCTAGCCCAGGTGCAGAGCAAGACTCTGTCTCAAAAAATAAATAAAATTGAAAAGATCATATCAGGAAAAAAGGAAAAAGTTCTATTAGCTTTAATTTTTCAAAATGAATGCCTATAATTTTGTTCAGATTTAATACTAAAAACACCAGAAAATAATTTTAAAGGACTAGACATTTTAGTTGTTTATCTCTAACATAAAATTTTAAATTTTTTCAAATGCAAGCTAATAACAAAAACCTTTATAAACTGTGCCTATTTTAAGGTGACAGATTATTGCTTTAAGTTTTCTCAAAAAATGACAACTGGCCAGCCACATATTTTATCTTATAATCAAGACAAGCTAATGCTTATTTAAGGGTCATAGGTCCTTTAGACTTATTTGCTTATTAATATAATTACAGTCTTTTAGTTTTTCTTGATTTATCAGATGGTTTTCATTAAGGAATGATGCAGTTAAAAATAAACATGGCTCAGGACTTTAAAAGACAATATGGATCAGGCAAGGTTTTTTTTCCTTTATATTCTAAGCACAATTATTTTAAAAATGTGTGCCAATGGTTGGTCACATAGATAAAAGGGCAAAAGAGAATACAAGAATATAAAACTAAAAATATACAAACAAGGTAATAATAGACATAATATTCTATTAATAGCTATGACAGAATATAATAGAACTCTATCTTCCTATTGTTGGAATGCTACATTTTTCTTAATACTGAACTAGTATTATCTTATTGTTTTTGGTGGCTGAATCACACAGGTGGCTCATACTAAGTCTATGGCAAAGGTGGCCACAGTCCTTCAAATTTTTCCCTAACCCAACATTGCCTTGAAACCATTACATGCCGAGAATAGATATTAAACTGATGAATGCAATTTTTCTTTTTTTCCAGAGTTTTCTTTTCTTTCTTTTTTTTTGGCAGATGGTAGATGGTTAAATGTTTGGTTTTCAAAGCACTTCTCTGCTTGAAGGAAATTGAAAGTCAAGAAAACCATAATTATGCAGATCAAACATAGCAAGGAAAATAAACTTGAGATTCAGATCAGGCACACAAGCTACACTGAGGATAATTTGTGATATGAACTGAGTTTTCTTAATAATGTTCTTATATAATCTGAATATGATTAATACAGTTTGGCAGAGGTAATACCATAGAGAATTGTGCTCCTTGGTAATAAGTAATACATACATACTACACATTTACTGCTTCTACTAATAGAACACAGATTTTAAAACCTCATTATATCCACAAGAAATAGAGTGTAATTAATGAAAGGTACATACACAGTCATAAATATCCCACAATCACAAAACGTTGCCCTTATATGGTTACTCTGGGTACCCTATGAGATACTGAATAGAATTTTATAGATTTGGGATGACAGGCTTACATTCTACATGTTAATTTGTTCCTAAAGAGTTTGTTTGTAATTAAGGTGAGCAGACACCAAGCAAAGAGTGGGACATTACTTATGGCCTATGGTCCAAATAACAAGGCTTCCTATCATTACTGCTGAAGGCTACCATACTTTTCTCCTCAATTATGCTTTTGATCAAATATACGACAATATAACAGCTAATGTGAATTTTTAAGAGTGAAGAAGTTGTGAAAAGCTGATTTTTTTTTTTTTTGGTGACAGGGTCTCTGTCACCTGGACTAGAGTACAGTGACCTCATCATAGCTCACTGTAACTTCAAACTCATAGACTCAACTGATTCCTGTCTCAGGCGGCCCCCTAGGAAGCCGGGACTTCAGGCGTGCGCCACCTTGTCTGGCTAGTTTTTCTATTTATTGTACAGATGAGGTCTTGCTCTGCTCAGGCTGCTCTCGAACTCATGGCCTCAAGCGATCCTCTTGCCTTGGCCTCCCAAAGTGCTAGGATTACAAGTGTGTGCCACCATGCCTGCCCTGAAAAGCTGATTTTATCAAAGCAACCTCATGGATACAGCTTGGTGGTTTTCTTTCATATTTTTAATTATTGTCAAGTGTTGCTTAATCCTGCAGTCCCCAATCCCTGGGGTCACAGAGCTCCCCTCTATTCCCCCTCCCCCACCCTTCTGTGGAAAAACTATATTCCATGAAACCTGGTGGGGGAGAGGACACAGAAGGAGGTGAGTGGCAGGTAAGCCTGCGAAGCTTCATCTGTATTTACTGCTGCTCCCCATTGCTGGCCTCACTGCCTGAGCTCTACCCCTACCCCCTTGCCACAGGTCTGTGAGGTCTTAGAAAATATGTCTTCCATGAAGCCAGTCCCTGGTGGCAAAAAGGTTGGGGACCATTGGTTTACTCTATCCCAGTTGATACTCTATCGCGAATAGAACGCTTTCTTCATGTTACTCATGCCTGGATAAGGCATGACTCTATAATTCCATGTAATTAAAAAGATATTAATATCACTCATCCAGGGAGGATACTTATGAGGACCCCAGGAGAACAACCCTATAAGACACGTAGTACTGTTATATAAATAGACCCTAAGTGATTACGGCATTAGGATGTGAGTGCCAAAACCATCTGATGAAGTTATCATCAGAACAATTACAGAAAAACAAACATGATTAAAAATAAAATAATTTTCTATTAAAATATGGCATCCAGACACTGCAGGAAGCTTCCTTTCAAGAGATGAGATAACTTCTTTTGCTGGGGCCCTGCTGGGTATAGGAATGGAAGTATCCACAACAGGTGTCCAAAGAATCAGGTTATAAAGTTGATTGGAATACATGCACGTGGCATGCGCACACACACATACACCCCCATAGTAGCAGCATGGAAAATCAGCTATGAGCACAAAGTTTGTCTGGTAAGAACACCCTTCCCAGGCTCCACACTTCCATCAGCTGGAGTGAAGATGAGCTCTGCTTGCTCTTGGCAAGACCCCCTTCTCCATATCCACAACACTCACAGCCTTACCACCCCAATCCACCTTGGAGATTATCAGGATTAATAACATCATGCCTGTTTTTCCTGTTTACATCAGAAACAAAAGATTCAGGATTCACAGGTCATCCTTATCCCAATATCCCCTAATCTGACCTTTTCTCTGCCACCTCTCCAAACTCCTGCAACCTTTTTCCTCTGAGCCTTCTGGAGTGCTCAGTCATAATCAGCAGAATTCCTACCTTCTCAAGCCTTCTCCAAACATTTTCCCCACCTTCTTACTCCCAATGAAACCTCCTACCAAATAACCTTGCTTCCCCTGCCACTTCCAGATCACTGTTACTCTCTCTTCCCAAGTCTTTTTTCTCTCCACGCTTTTAAGATTGTCTCTTCATCACTGGTTTTAAGCAATGTGATTATGATGCGCTTTGGTGTAGTTTTCTTCATGTTTCTTCTGCTGGATTCTTCAATTTCTTAGATTTGTGGATTTATAGAAACCATCAAGCTTGGAATTTTTCTGCCATTATTTCTTTAATTTTTGTATTTTTTTGTACCATCCCATCTCATTCCATGCCCTCCCCCATCATCAGAGCTCTTCTCCATCTGAGAATCCAATTATATGTTTATTAAGCCACTTAAAATTGTCCCACAGCTCACCAATGCTAATATTTTTTTAACTGTTTTGAGTTTTTATTTCTCTGTGTACCACAGTGGACAGTTTCTATTGCTATATCTTCAAGTTCACACTGAGCCTTTCTTCTGCAATATCTAATCTATTACATCCTGTCAGGATATTTTTTTCATATCAGACATTGATTATATTTTTTATTTCTAGAAGTTCAATATTGGTCTTTTTATGTCTTCTATGTCTCCCCTTAACATGTTCATGCTTTCTTCTATCTTCTTGAACGTATGCAGTATGTTTACAGAGGTTTTACCATTCCAGCTGTTGGGTATGTGAACTATTCCCAGACTTATGTCAATTATGGAAACTGGTCTGTCTGTTCCTTTTTGGTGGTCCTTTTTCCAGTCTTGGGTAATTTCCCCACGTGTATTTGCTGACCATGCCCTTTTGAAGACTCAAGGGGAACTCTGTGTAGATCCAGAACATTTTCTCTGAAGCTTCCTCCTCTCTGGTATTCTACCTTAATAATTCTAGTTATGTCGGCTTCTTCAAATTCTCAACTGTCATCTCCTTAACTCAGGAAAACTGCCGGGCTCTGTCTGTGTGGGCTCCCCATCTCTGCACTACTGCCTGGAAATTCTCTCCAGGCAGTAAGCTGAGGCAATCGTAGGGAACACTGTCCTGTTCTACCTGTTGTCTAATGTCTGAAAACCATTTATTCATATGTTTTATTTTGTTTGAAATTTATTTATTTAGTTTTATGTATTTTTATTTTTCATTTTTAGTTAAGGTGAAAGGATAAATCCAGTTCCTGTTACTCCATCATGGCCAAAACAGTCTTTGGTCTAATTTTATCTGACTATAATTCCCACTGCTCTACAGACCATCACACACCTGTCTCCAGGTCATTCACCTTTACTGCTTAAAGATGTCTTGGCTTATTATTACTACTTATGACACTACTCCTTTCGTAAATCTGGTTAATTCAATATCCAGATGATCTTCAATATCTTGGCCTCTCAGTTCCCTTCTATTTCATGATCATGTC